ATTTATAATTACGCAAATTTAGTATTCCCATTTAATTATCTTAGTGACAACCCATCACAGTAGTTACAAAGTCATTAAATATCCATGTAAGAAAATAGTGTAATTTTGAATAAATGTGTGCCCGCCATTCTGACGGACAACACTTAAACAATCAATTGGAAGTGTATTTTTAATTAATACGTTAAGAGCATTCACATCATCCCAACCCAGAGCGACTCACACCTTCAGATCTCTGGAGCTGGCGCAAGAGACAGGTGGGTATCGCGCTTGGCTCATTTAAATAAGTTAAACGCGAGTGACGTGACATCCTCCACCATGTCGAACACTCGCGTGTCTCGACACATTGTGGGATCCCGCTAGGTTCGGGGCACACAAATCACCGGCGGGCAGGTTCATCACAGTACATTTTTAATAATGAGTATTCACGTCCAACATTTTCGAATTCTCACAGGCAATCAAACATTTTTCTTACGATATCAACCCCTAATCTGATTCAATCCGTAGATCAGTGGAGTATTCGCCCAGAAGCGTGTACAAGCAATCATAATACAATATGTACTATCAATAGGATCATATGCCCGAGGACATTTCGAGAAGCACAGAAAACGTTCGGCGATATATTTATTTTAAAACGAGCTGCTTGAGATTCTTCCAGAACACAATTTCAACAAGCACGTAATGAATCATCATCAATATCCGACCAAGATCGAGATACCAAAGGTCCGGAAATGAGTCAAGGAAATAACAGTTATCTTAACTAGTGGTGCTACAAATGGCACAGACTTTCCTGTATTAATTTTCTATTTCTTTTTGTATTGGCTAGCTATTCGAACTTACCACATAATCTTGCCTACTGCAATCTATCGCCACCCAAAGTATATTTTTAAAAGTTTCTTAATTTTTCAGTTTCTTGATAGTAGAACGGAAATATTACTTAAAAAATATTAAAGAACTGTAAAACTTCAATATAATTGGCAATTTTCTTTGAAAAAGTTGAAGCGGTTTTTAAGGAAATGGCGCTTAAGCTTTACAGTGTTACTAAGCAGATCACGTGACCGGCGACAACGAACCGTCTTTTACCGTTAACGAACTTGAGGAAGCTATCAACAGTTTCCCACTAAAGAAAGCTCCAGAACCCGACAATATCGAACCCGAAATCATTCAACTGGCCTTCCCGATCGCGAGGCAGAATTTAAAAAAATGTACAATAAGTGTCTTAAGGCTGGTATACGTTGCACTGGTACTGACTGTGTTCTTTCTATGAGTGTTTATAATGTTCAAGGAAATAGAGAACGCCGCCAGTTGGGAAATTAGGGTTGTAATTAGATTTCTCAACGCAAGAAATGTGAAACCTTGCGCTATTGATCGTCAACTGAAGGAGGTGTTTGAAAATTATGGATGAGTCATTTGTTCGGCTCGTATAACAGAACAACTTGTGGAACAATTCAAATGGGAATCTTTCACAACCATTACATTAGAGTCATGTATGAATTTTGCATTTAAAATATTTAGACTTCGTGTTCGTGGGTTTATATGAGGTTAGTTTCATAGGGGAAATTATGCATTATTAATTTTAAAGAAATAGTAGTCGCGAATAGAGGTATCACCCGAAACCAAGTGAGGGAAAGTCGCGACGCGATAATATTAGAGCAGATGTAGGGATTTTCGAATAACGGGCTGTATGATTAGCAACAGTAGGGTGATATTCAACGTTTTAATAGACATTATGCTCATAAATTACACCACAGAAGGACTCCCTTTTGGAGAAAACAGCGGCATCGTATCAACCGAGATCTACAGAATCATGAATTAATAACGATCTCGAGACATGTTAGTAGAATATTGCAATAAATGTTATTTGTTGTTTGAAAAGAAAAAAACTGATATTTTATTGAATTGCCATCAATTCAGTAAGTAGTAAATTCCACAGAAGTTTCAGGAATCGTGATTTCTGTACAGTCACACGTCCATATGCAGCAGGTAACATGATGTATGTTATACGTCGAAGTCATGCAAGATCTTAATAAAAAACACAGTCAAACTATAATTAATTAGAGCAGTTGATTTACAATAAATTAGATAAATTAGAAACTTTTAATTACGTTACAAACGGGCAGGTTTAGATTTATTCAGTCAAAGAAACAGTAGAAACTGTATGTGACGTAGGGGGAATATATTATCTGCGCATGTTTTCTTGAGTTCCAGAATCCCTTCCCGTCATTTTAACTATAAATAGTTGTAATGGAGTAAAAGTTAAACAAAAATAATAAAAAAATAAATTTTAAAAATCGCAAGATTAGCATTATTTTAAAAATAATCATTTTTGTTTCTGAGTTGTAAAAAACGTGCGCATAGTGAAGCTACATTTACGTCCAGAAGCAAACCAAGGGACCATCTCGGCATTTACTCAATGGATCAGGGAAACTGAAGAAAAACCTGATCGAGATGGGGGTCATTGACCCGGGAGCTGAAGTACATTATTACAAACATATTAAGGTTCATTTTGGTTACAAAATTGTGCCAAACGCGGGTTTGTTTCATGGTGTTACAGTTATATTTATGAGTACATGTACTCTAAATAATGTCATATAAAGTTTACCGTGAACTCAACCGTTTTCTGTGAAAACTAACTAAAAATTCTGTATTTCCAAAAATGCTCAATCGCTATTTTCTCATAAACGGCTTCAAATTTGTTCTTCAAAATTTTCGAAGATATAGTGCTCTTGCGCTCTTAAATACGACGTAAAGTTTATTTGTTTGTTTTTTTACGAAAATTACACAAATGCAATTTTTTGAAGGAATTCTCACGCCGTTAATATGTACATTTCCAGTAATTTGTAAAGAATATTGAATTTCTGAGTTAATGCGATTTAAATTAAGTTGTTCGAAAACTCAAAAAATGTTTGTGAAAAAGAGCTTTAAATTTTGAATTTTCAGGGTGCTTGAACGCAATTTTCATAAAAACGGTTCCAAATTTTTCAAAGAAAATCGCCATTTCGGACTAGGCTTTACTGTTCTTTAATATCCTTAAAATAGTATTTCCGTTCTATTACTGGGAGACCGAAAAATTAAGAAAATTTCAAAAAAATGTTCTCTAGTCGGCGATAGATGGCAGCTGGTAAAGAGTATGTGGCAAGTTTGTAGAGCTAGTCGAGACCAAAGAAATAGAAAATGAATACGGGAAAGTCTAGGTCATTCTGTTGCACTACTAGTTTCTTTAAATTTCTTGTAAGAATAAAGTACACTTATAAAGATGCCAGAAGTCCTATTTTCACTGTTATCCTTGAATTTTCTAAAATTGCAAAAGTTAAAAAATGTTCAACCTTTGTACAACTACATTATTGAAGATAGAAATTTTTTCATCAAATATTTTTTCTCTCCACAATTTGTCCTATTAATAAAAGTCATGTAAATTTATTTACAAATTTTGGAAGATTTCGGGTAATTTTAGGTGAAATATGGAGAATATTAAGAACAAGATTTTCTGAAAGCGTGGCTCCAAGTTTTTCTTTGACACTTTTGTACGGTAATAGCTAAATACACTGAATAACATATCAACGGCATTTTGATATATTATGTAACGTTTTGATTTTTCAAAAATTATACAAATGCATTATTTTTTCGCGCTTAAAAAGAAACTTCATAAAAAGAGAAAGTTATGTAATGCTGCGCAACAGAAAAACAATTATCAGCAGAAAAACTCTTATTACAGGGCCCTGGTATACGCATAAACGTGTCACACACACCATTTTTCTGCATTACAGCATTATAAATTTACAAGAGAATCAAACTTAATTTTTTTGTATTCCAGTATTACAAAAGAACCTTTTCTGTCGCAAGAAATCGTTCATAATCGGGCATTTTAAAGCACAAATGATGATGTATTAGATGCTATGTCACGAATGATTGCGTCATCACATATTCAGCCAATTGTAGCGAGAGAATCGAGGGGAGGCAGAGCTAAACGGAACAGCCGACCACCGTTTACTCGCACGATGTCAAATACCCGAGTCGTCACAGGGAAGTTGTTTCGCAAAATTAAGTTTGATTCTCTTATAAATGTATAATGCTGTTATACAAAAAATATAGTATGCAACTCGTTAATAATGTTGCTTTATTACATTCGAACAAATTTGAAAACTCGCTCTTAAAGTCGCTCGTTTTCAAAACATGTACTCGTGCAATAAAGCTTAACATTATAAACTAATTGCATAAACTACTATTGCGAAACAATTATCTTGTGACGTCTCGGGTATTTGACATCTGCGCGAGAAAACTGTGGTCGGCTATTCCGATTACCTTTACCTCCCCAAGATTCTCTCGCTGCGATTGGCTGAATATGTGATTACGTAATAATTCGTGCAGTAAAATGCCAACACATCATTTATGCCGTAAAATGCACGTATGCGTATGTATGTATGTATGTATGTATGTATGTATGTATGTATATATATATATATACACACACACACACACACACACACACATTTTTTTCATGAGTTTTGAAAACTACCGCATCAGACGTCTGGTTCCTTAGAACCAGGAGAGTTCTTGGGGATCACCGTTTCTATTTGACGGCGTTTAGAGTTCGGCTTCTTAATTGTTTCTCACAAGGGATAAAGATCTCGTCAATTCTGGGAGATAACTTTTTCGACGTATGTAGCGTTGAAAAAAGTCAGCGACTGATAAGTGACTTGGCCCTCTGAGAGTTCGCACTTGTGTGTGGAGGTGCAAGAGGACAGCTCTCCTTCCAGAATGACAACAACAATTAAAATAATAATAATTATATAATAATAATAATAATGATAATAACAACGTTATTATTTAAACTTTATTATCATTATATTTCTCGGTCTTCTAAGGGCATCGTTTCGTCAATAGTTTGTTGTATGTTGCGGAATGTTGCACGTACACCACCCGTTTGAAAAGGTACACGGAGTATACATGTAACGGGGAGGTCACGATTAGGGAAACTTGTGGGGAACGAATCAAATGAACGAAAAGAACTGATTCGCTAAAATGAACGACGGATCTGTGGCGAGTCTGTTTATGGCGTTTTTAATGTGACGTGAGTTACTGCATATGATGTTTGGACATTATGGAAAACCAACAACCCAAGCATACAATGTGCTGATGAATTTAACATAAAGAAAAATAATATTTTTTACGTTTTATCAATGTTCCATATAATGCAGTTATGGTGGTGTGTGATGTGCGAAGAAGGTAACTGACAATTTTGGAAAATGTTTGTTTTTTAATTGTTTAATTTTTATGTCACCTAATGGAATGTATTTTTCAAAGTAGTGATTGTTTCTTGCAATGAGCATTGTGCTTCCACGAATGGACCTACATGTTTTATTCGAGTTTCCCGATTAGGGTATCTGTGCCACGACCCGTGTCACTTTTCTTTTGACACTTAAATAGTGGAACGTCAAAAATTAAGTGTCTTTCAGCAGAACAGTCTTTTGCAATAGCTTTCCCGTTACAAAGTTTGATTTACGCGTCGCTACTTTGCACCGTGTCAAACAGGACGGAAACATGCTGGTGGTTAACGTGTGTGAAATCTGGGATTCACACTCCAGTGATTTTTGATCTAATTACTCACTTGGTTATTGCACCGAGCTCAGTATTTCGGCTGCAGTCGAAAGAAACTTTCACTTCTTACAATTCACTACTAATAGAAACAATTTAATTCATCATAATGCTGTGAATTACATATTGACAGGTATGTGAACTAGGGTACTCTAAGGAGAAATGTGGAATTGTGTTGCAGGTTAAGATCAATGTAAAATGTTTGGAACGGTATTATAAAGAATTGCTCTTTTATGCAATGAATCCTCCTGAGGTAATGATGTCAGATGAACCTGAATCTTCAAAGCCGCAACCGATGGCCTTTACTATCAACTTTTCAGATGGCAAAGACAATGTTTCCACAAAGATGTTCCGTGAAAATTTGGCTAAATACACTAGACATGTCCGAAATGCATCTCTACCCAATGTAGACGATAGCAAGGTAAATGTTATTTTGTATATTTACATTCACGAGTTTGTGAATTATTAATATTTGTGCTTGTTAGATTACCATTGTTTGTACTGTGTGTTTGTATTGATTATTTGTAGAAACTTGCAAGAAATGGTGCCACCTCTGTCCAAGCTGTTTGCATGTCACCTTTAGCTGCTAGGAAGGGTATTATGAGTAAAAGACCAGGATATCATTCTGAAGGTTACTTTTCCAGTGATCAAGAAGATGATTTGAGAGCCAGAAGTGATATATTTGTTAGAAAGTTAAAAAATATTGATAAAGGTAACTTGTGTGATTTTCAAAATTGCTGTACTCTTAGAAATAGTATGTGCCAGTACTCTAAAAATTTTGCATATTAAAGTCTTCTTATTCAGAAAATGTTAAAAGAATGTAGGTATATTAAAGAAACGTGTGTGTGTGTTAGATTTAATTTTTGGGTTTGATTTAGGGATCAGAACTACAAATTTAGCACAAGAAAAGAAAATAATGGCTGATCAGTGTAGCCAAAGGAAGGTGAAACTTTGTATACAAAATGATCCTCAAGAATTTGGAGATTTCAATGCTGATGTCAACGGCCAAAACAGTCTGATGGATGATGATGATTACCATACACCACCTCATCCTCCTGCTGGTAGTCCCCTAACACTTCCCGACACTAGAGACACAGAAGATTGGCTGGGGACTGAACAAAGTGATGATGAACTGGAAAATCCTTCTGATCGTATAGATACTCAAATCCTTGAAGATGGAGGAGGAGATTTGGATGACATACTCAATGATTCGTCTAATGACACTGTTAGTGAAGCAGGCACTTACACAATTGAACGTGATAACCCTTGCCCAGAAGTTATGAGAGCTAGACAAGATTTAGAAAATGTAATACTCAAAATAGGACAGATGCAGACTTTCAGTGAAGAAGAAGCAACATGTATAGACGAAAGCACATTCAAGGTAAATCTTTGTGAAGTAATAAAGGAATTTTGTCATAAACTCCGAAAATTACTGTTACACTATTTTAAAAAGTTTATCAGTTTTTTCATTCTAAAGTTCTGTCATCTGTATTTGATTTTGTGTGTGTGTGTGTGAAAATCAGCCTTTTATTTCTGTGACAATATTTTGTTGGTTTGATTCTTTCCACAAAGGTTAGTTTTGTCTCTCCTTTTCTTAATTTACCTTTTCCACCTTAATTTTTAATGAAGTGAGTAAATTTCCAAACATTATAAAATAATGTAATGTGAAAGAATTGTATCTCCATGACTTTCTTCTCATCAAAATATTGTTATTAGTTAACTAGCAGCTATTCCAGTGGTCTCATAATTTTTAATGTTCATTTTCTTTTTACTGACAATGAATCATTCATTTGTGTTTGGTTTTTGCAGAGGAGTTTGTATTCTGATGGTTCACATTGGATCAATGAATGGGCGACTCAAGTAGCAAAACATAACCATAATGGTGAATATGAAAAACCAAGTATGCCAGGTTTGCCACCTCTTCCTGTTGGGAAGCAACAAGGTAAGAAATAAGAAAGGGAAATTATTACTTAAAGAGTTTGAAAGGGTTTTATATGCATTTATTTTTACAGAGTTAAAAATGATTTTTGTTTGAAAGGAATGCTACTTGTAAATAAGCAATTTTCATAATATTTACTGCAACAATAGTTATCCTTGTAATAGTAATAATAATAATAATAATAATAATAATAATAATAATAATAATAATAATAAAATAAACAAATAAATAATAAATAAATACAGCATAAGCCATGTGTGACAAGTCAAGATATGTACATAATCATGCAATGTACAATACAGGTATTTCTAAAAATGAAATACAATGCAGAAATTAAAATTAAATTCAATTTTCGTACTAAATTCAATATATTACAATGCTAATTGATTTAATAAATGGTTGTGTAAGTAACCTAAAATTGAAAAACAATAATAGTAATAATAAAAAAGATAGAAAGGAAAAAAAAGAGAGAGAGAAAAAAAACAAGTTCTGGAGGAGATAGAAGCCTGAGCTGGGTTCATCCTTTATATCAAACGATCAGTTTGGGGGTTTCAAAACATGCAACCAAGTATGCAAAAATTATTAGTACTAGTTTTTATTGTTGGAGATACATGTGTATGATGTACTGTAGAATGTATGGTTTAACAGGAAAGCTTTATTTTTGAATGTGTTTGTACTTGTTTTTGTAGAGTTTGTTGGGGCTTTGCGGGGTATGTCATTGATGTATAAGAGAAATAGGGACTAGGGTTGATCCTTGTGGCACTCCATAATTTATCATTCTAATTTGGAAAAAATGGGTAGACATTTTTTTATCTTTAACATGTTTTGATTGTGCCTACTTGACAATGATTTGAAAGGTGAGGTTTAACCCATTGATGTACAAAGACTCTAATTCCCAAAGTTTCAAGTTTGGATAACAGTATGAGATGGTTCAATAAGCTGAATGCTTTTGATAAATCTAGAGACAAACAAATAGAGATTTCTTTGTGATCTAGAGCATCAAGTATGTTTTTCAGAAAGGTGAAGATAGCTGTCTGTAGATCTACCATTTCCAAATCCATGTTGGGCCTCTGTCAATATGTTATTTAAATTGATAAAACTATCGAGACTATCATTAAACTTTTCTAGAATTTCTGAAAATGCAGATAGTAAGGATATTTTTCTCTAATTCTTGAGATCGTGTGTGTAACCTTTTTGAACAGTGACTTTTGCTCTTGTGAGAATTTGTGGGGAGATAATATATCATTAAGGAGTGGTTACAAATGTGAGTGAGCTACTCTATTATAGTTATTGTAGTATGTTTAATGAGGGGGAGAGAGATATTATCTAATCTTGTAGAGAATTTGTTTTTCATTTGATTTATGATTTTTTGTATTTCTGCACGTGTTGTTTCACAGATGTTTATGGAGTTTGCATTTGATGATGTGCGGATACTTGACTGCATATTTATATTATTTAAAGAATTGCAGTAAATTATTTTCGTCTCAAATTTCTGAGAAATGTCTATTGAATGTGTTTGCTACTTCCTGTAGGTTGTGCAGAAAATTATTTTTGTAGTGAAGTTCAATGTTCTTAGTGTTTCTGTTTTTAGAGTACTTTTCACAATGTTCCACATTGCTTTTGTTTTATTTTGTGTTTTGGCAATGCGTTGATCATTCATTCACAATTTGGCCTGTTTAATTACTTTCTTCAAGATTCTTTTGAATATACTTGTCAATCATAGAATTATTACTAGGAAACAGGTTCCCATGTAAATACATGCTTTTAGATAGAAGACATCTGCATTCAATTTTTTCTCCCTTAAGATTGCATCACACTCTGAAAGCATTAAAAACATATTTTTGGTTATTATAAATGTTCCTGGAATCGTCTTTCTGCGATACAAAGCAAAATAATACTGCAATTCTGTGACCTCTGGACGTTGGCAATGAGTTATCAATTTTATCCCCTGCATCTTGAATATTGCATTCTCGGAATTCAAGAATATCAAATGTTTGCTAAGCAGAAATAATTGCAAACACATGCTTGTTCATATTTCATAGAGTCCAAACATAATTCAATAGAAACAATTATTTCTTATAGAGCAGAGTCTTGTTGTGCTTCCAATTTCCTATCAGTAAATATACACTCTTGTGAGGAACGCAAAATTCCGAACGTATTCTTGAAAACCTGCCGGCTCAAGCTTGATAAGAATACTCCTTTAGAAAATGAAGTGATCAATCAGTGGCACTTGTTTTCAATAAATTGATTTCAATTACAATGTTGGATGAGTATAATTTTCATTTGAGTCAACGTCATTTGTCCTGTATGTGTAGTGCATGCTGTATCATCCATAGTGGCAGTGTTCCTCCTCTGCTGGAATGTGAGATCCAGTGCCGACCAATGCATTGGCTTGCATGTTTATTCCTCCTCTAGATATTTTCCTCAGCAAGGAACTGTTCCAGCCAGGCCTTGCTGTCTAGACTTCCATCAAATACGGTAGTGCCATGAATTGTGTGTGTTTAAGGGGAGAAGAAGAGAAAAGGATGTGAAAGGAAAGATTGTGCGCATTTCAAGGCCTGTTTTAAGATACTGCTGTTGCATTTGCTTAGGATTAATCGGAAAAATGAGCAGAAAACTACCGATCAAAGCAGCTGTCTGCTAGATTTTCCCTCTACGGGGTTGGTTGAAATCAACTCAGCAATCTAACGTCTGAAAAATCTACCAGTGTTGGATTTTGAACCCTAGGCCCTCCAGGTCAATGCTAATGTTGGATTTAGGGAGAGTATAGTTTCTGAATCCCCACCACCCAAACCTTCGATCTGTCACAGGCTTTACTGTGAGGTTGTTCACTTGGTTCTCGGCAACATCACCATGTATTTTACATGTGTACTTGTGTTTAAATGTTGTATTGTTTGCTGAAGACTAGTATTCGATTACTGCTGTAGTGGTAGAACATTGGTTTAGTGGCTTTGAATCCATTTCAAAGCCTGAATTGCTACACGTTGTGTTCAAATCTTGAATGTTTGCAAGGGGCAATTTGAAACACTATTATGATTTTTTATGTGTGTATTTTCAAGTATTTCTTATGTAGATTTTTACCGATCAGTAACTTTTTGTTATTTACAATAATGTTTATTACAATAAATTCTGTTCTCTAATTATTACCCAAGAAATTCATGCTGATATTTTTTCTTTAGGACCAACCCCTGTCTCTACCAGCAAAATAGCTTCTCCTGTGCATGAAAGACATGTGCCTTCTGCAGGTCGGAAGTTCACACCTCCGTCTCAACACACAGGACCACGGAATCTTCATTCACCTTTAAGTCACCTCACAGTTCATGTAAGACTGTATTCATAACCTCATTTTTATATTTTTATTCTTACCTTCTTTTTATCCCTTGTTTATTATTTCCCACACTTGTAAGTGGGAGTGTAGGAGTATGTATGTCAAATAGCATAAATGATTTGAATGTACTTTGTATCTTTGAATCGTGCAACACAAATAATTTTCAACAGGGAGTTTTGTATATTTCTCAGTTGTTGGAGAATGCATGTTTTAAATTGTGACATTTTTATATATATGTATGTGTGTGTGTGTCCACCTAGGTCATATGTTTCCAAATATTTAGTTTCCCTTGGGTTTTTCAAGAAATAAAGGGGGGGGGGAATAATGTTTATAACTTTTCTGAGAAAGCAAATTGAAATAAGCAGTATTAATAAGTATTTTATTAATTTAAATTAATTAATATTATAAGTTTATTTTATAATATAATATTATTTCCCGAATATGTACATATATACGGAGTAATAGGTGTAGTATATAAAAAGTTATGTAATGCTGCAGAAAATCAATTTTGTGATTTGGATGAAATACACATTTTGGGGTCCACTGATTTCGAAAAAGTGTTGTTTATTTTCATAACGTCAGTCTGCCTGGTGTCTGTGAACACTACTAGTGCTTAAACCGTGCATAGGGTTTTTCCAAATTGAAGAAACCAGTGTTGATCTGGTTCAAGTTGTATCTTTGAGATTTTGAAAAAAATTCTTCAAATTTTGGGGGTACTTTTTATGACGTCTCCCAGACATTTTCAAAATTTTCTCGAAAATGGCTCCAAATTTTTTCTTCTTCTCTGAGTTTCTCGTAAGTATAGAGTAACATACACTTATAAATGTGGCATAGGTCGAATTTTCAAGGTTTAGTCTTTAGTCTGAATTTTCGAAAATTTCAAAGAATGGATTTTTTCTGTGGCTTCCTGCAAGTACAAAATTGAATTTTCAATCAAATAAAATTTGTTCTTCAAAGTGAGTTCTTTCATCAAAGGCATTTCATTTCTTTCATGTGCATTGTTTTGAAACTTTTAGTATTTTTTACACAATATTGTGTGCAATATGGGCAATTTTAAAGTACAGAAATAAGATTTTTTTTTAAATGGCACCAAATTTTTTCTTTATACTTTTGGTGGGGGTAGTGCTAAATGTACTCTATAAGATAGCATAAACACCATATTGCTATATTTTTTTGTGATTTCAAAAATTCCAAAAAGGTATTTTTATGTTTTTCCTCTGGTGTTGTTAATATTTATATTAGTGGCAATTTGTTCAAATTATTGTATTTCTGAATACACATGCATTAAATAGTGTTATATAAAGTTTGTCGAAAACTCAACTGTTTTCTAGCAACTAGCTCAATACATTGCATTTTCAGAAACGCTCCAACGCTATTTTCTCAAAAACCATCTCCATTTTGTATCTTCAAATGTTTTGAATGGATGGTGATAATTGCACTCTTTAATACGACGTAAAGTTAATTTTGGTGTATTTTTTTTTGTTTTTTCCCAAAAATTACACAAATGTAAATTTTTTGAAAGATCTCTCATGCCGTTGATATGCACATTTCCAGCAATTGTAAAATCTATTGTACATGTGAGTTAAAGTAGTTAAAATAACTTCAAAACTTAAAAAGTTTCTGTGAAAAAGAGCTTCCAATTTTGAATTTACAGTAGCGCTTAAATGCCAGTTTTTTAAAAATGTCTCTCAGTTTTTCAAAGAAAATTGCCATTTAGAGCAAGGTTTTACTGTTTTTAAATAATCTTAAAATAATATTTCTGCTATGCAATTAGGAAACCGAAAAACTAAGAAAATGTCAAAAAAAATATACTTTGGGCGGTGATAGATGGCAGCAGGCAAGAAAATGTGGCAAGTTAGAATAGCTAACCGAGACCAAAGGAAGTAGAAAACATACGTGAAAGTCTATGCCATCCTGTAGCACTTGTTTAAATATTGTCTCTTTATACTAAATATTGTCTCTGATACCTACTCCTATACAGCATATCATTCTCAGTACAAGAGTTTTAATATTTTAAATTTTGAAGATAATTGTTGCCTGTGTTTTAAAAATATAATAATATTTATGATTATATTATGTTCTGTTATTGTCACCATATACCAATTGTTGTCACGTTGGGAAAATATGGCCCTAGGTCAAATGTATGCAATGAAGGTATTTTACTTTCATTGCATACTTTGCTCGTCTTTATTTTTCACTTTCTTCTTTCTCTTTTCTCTCATATTACTCACAACTTTACATGCACTATAATAAACTTAATTAATCACTATACATTGTGATCTTAGTTAGTTGAACGTTCTTTTCAATACACTTTTTTCTTCTGATAAAACCATAACCATTAGAATTCACCAGTTCAGAGTAGTTGCAGATCTTCTCATAACAGTCATGTGCACATATTAATAGTGCAATATGAAGATCTAAGATATGTGTTCATAATGTCCGATGATGATAATATCACATTTAGTAAGCTGTACCACAATATGAATATTTGAATAATGTTATAAACTCTGCTTTCATAACAGCAGATTACCAATTATCTTTTATTTTTGTACTGCAACAACCATTAAATTGAATTAAATTTTTATGTAATTGTCATTAAATGCATTCTTTATTCACACACCCTGCGGAAGGCTGCCACAAGTCAAAATTATCATTTTTTGAGCCAGTAGGAAAAATTAGTGAATATTTCTCAAGGAAATTGAAAGAAGTTACATATTTCAGAATTCCAGGCTTCAAGTAAACTGAAAAAATATGTAATTGCATGAAAATCTGATGCCTAATTATTATAACACAGTTAGAGGAGGGCCAAAATTTTACTTTTATGTTCATGTATGCAAACTTAAAACTATTGTGACTTATGCCTTAAACGATTGAGGAAATGAACAAAAACCTCAATCAATGTGGGCTGTTGATGGCCGAGAACATAGCCAAATTTAAAAGTAAAAACTAAATACAATAAATAGGTAAACAGATTGTGAAAAATTAAGTTACCAAAATATTTAGTGTGAAAAATAGCAATAATGTTAGGTAATAAAGTGTCAGTAGTTACTTGATAATATAAACAAACAAGAACAAGCAAATTCAATATATTTGATTTTAATAACAGTTTCAAACAGATTAATGTTAATAAATGAAATGCCAAGTGATACAAAACATAGAATTGCAAACACTGCAGACAAAAATACACAATTACATGACAAATACTAAGAGAAAATATGCTCAGCGTCCCAACAAGGGTTCAAAAGAGGTGTTGTATTGTAAGACACAACAAATGTAAAATAAATAAATAAATAGTGTAGTAATAATGTAAACAAACAAGGAATAAGTTTGAGTTATGTAAACCATGTGGCAAATTATCAAACAAAAGACTTCTAGACCTGGAAAAGTAATAGTTTTTAATTTCTTCTTACAAAAATTGGCTGAAGCATATTGCTTAATGTTCTTTGAGAATTCATTCATAGCTTGTGTTATGTCTGCAGTTGATGACTTATAATATTTAGTTATGGTTTGGTATTTGCAATAACAATGATTGCTTACGTTTATTGGCTACAAGAAGCGTGAACTGATTTGTTATACAAGGTATTTTTTTAGTAGTTTGAATAGAAGAGTTACTGCAATATATGGCTTACACCTAGTCACATGATTTGATTACATTCAAAATAATTTGATATGTGCTCATCTTTTTTACTCTAAATAAAATTAATTCACACATTTTGAGCTAACAGTAACCATGTGGTAAGCTCTGAGCTTAAGTCCTTGTACACAACATTAAAATAGTCAAATGTAAATAGGCAATGGTTTCTATTAAGGGAGATTTTTAATAATGACTAGTAACAATTTTCCAACAATCCGAAGAGAATTAATTTGTGAATAGAAAAATTTTGCAACCTACTTCTCATTAGAATCCATCTGGAGTTTAGTTAAAAATTGATTGTTAAAATTATTCCAAATTTTTTGACTTTGGAACAGTTGAGTATGATACTTTTCTTCAACGATGACCTTTTGTGTATTTAGTTGTTGAAACTGCAATTTAATTTTTTTTAACAAATTACTGTCTGTGATATTAAAAGATTCAAGGCAAGGCTGTTTAATTTTGTCCAAATTAATCAATGTTTCAAAGTCTTTATTGATATTATGCTCTTATTTGATTTGATTTTGTTTCACTGTAGATAGTCTTTCGCTAAATAAATAAATTTGTAAATCGTCAGCATACATGTGATCATCGTGAAAAGTGGAAGGAGAGACCTTAACATACATTAGGAAAACCAAAGGCCCAAGAATAGATACCTGAGAAACTCCTTTTACAATAGTTTATATTGATGAGGGCCCTTCTCCAACCATAACCGATTGCTGAGGATAATGAAAAGTTAAAAGTTCCTAGAATGAGTAGGTGGTCATGGCAGAGAGAATCAAAGGCTTTACTGAATGTAGTGTTAATAGAGTTATCTCCCTTTCATCAGGGCTTTTCTAAAGTCTTCCGTTTCTTCATATTATGCAGTTTATGTATTTTTACCTGGCATATAACCTGACTTGTATGAATTCATTACTTCATTCCTTCAAAATAAAAGTAGATTTGCTTGTGTACAATATTTTCCAGGATTTTTGGTTGTGTTTGCAGAATACATACAGGTAAAAAATCATTTGGTGAGGAAGGGCTGAAGAGAGGGTTAACTTTTGCCATTTTCCATGTTTCTAGGAAAGAATGATGTTAGTGAAAATTTAGGAATCTGAAGAGTTCTGCAATAATTCCACTGTCTAGCAATAATTCCATCAGAAACATTTGCATTTGATTTAAACTCCTTAAAACTTTCGAAACTTCTGCGTTATAAACACATTTAAAACACATTTGGTGTCTGGGATCATTTTGAATGATATTCAAAGACTCTGATACTTTTGCTTTGAAACTGAATCAAATTGAGAAGCCTGACTCGAGAAATACTTGTCCAGTTTGTCTAAAGGTATATCTACTGCTGAGATTGTTGACGTCTGTTCGCTAATACTGAGATTTATGAGGCTTATCTGTTTGGAATATCTTTGCGTTTTTATTTCTGAAAGTTATGTTTTATTAAACAATGTTATTTTTTTTAAAAAGTCAGTGTTTTATACAAGTCTGGATTTCATAACTCGTCATATTGCTGGTGGATGCATAACTTTAGAGATATTTTCTGAAGCATGTTTAACATACTTCTCTGATAATATTATTTTTACATGCATTTTGTCAGAAGTCTAGAAGTTTGTTGGTGCACAGATACTTTGGGAAAGAAAACTAGCTGCTTTAAAAACTTGTTGCCATGTTCTTAGGGCCCTTCGTTTGATATGATAGGTTCAACAAATCTTGACTGGATGTTCAGGAATCAGAATGTGGATCTGGAATCAGGATCTTGCCTTATAAGGCTCTGAATGAGTCTTCTTGTAACAAGTTATTTTGTGTTAATTATGAATATTAGTTAATTACTTAAATTAATTAATGATGTGAAGGGAAAACCAAATTTTGGGCAGTGGAATCACTATTTTTGTGATTTGAACTATGGCACTTTCCTATGTTCGCACTTAATTGCAGACATTTAAATGCCCCGAATAACTCAAAAATGAAGTTTTTGACTTGTCAGACTTTCATGTGGGGGAGGTAATATATTCTTAGATTAATTCCAGCCATTCGATTGTGCACATTTGATTTTAATGAATCTCTTCTGCAGTGAAAAGATACAGAAATGTAACAGCGTAATTGATATTCCTAACACATGTAATGTAGATGCATCATAATTTTGGAATTAGTTTCCTTTAGTCACAAAACTTAAGGGTTAATTATTATTGGTAGAAAACACATTCATTACTAATATTTAGAAATACAAAAGAATAACATTTAACATGCTTATTGGTTAGAGCTCAGAAATAGATAATTTCTATGTTGTTTTAATTTTCTATTAAATCACACCATGAATGAGATACTCACTACTAGAATGCGAAATTGTTTTTGGACTTAGAAGGGTATGACTTTGAAGGAAAACAAGTGAATCTTTGACTTGGTGTGAAAAAATATCAAAATTAATGTGTAATTCCTTGTTTTTAGTATTCACACGTCGTGGGAGTATGGACATGTTTAATGTCTTTTTCCTAATCTTGTAAAGTTGTAATGAAATCTGTGTTCTTTTGGACTGGTATAAGAGGATCTGATGCATGTCTGAAATGTGAAGTCACATGGCAACTACTGGTGTTCTCAAAGAAAAGGAAGGGACTTCTTGTCTTGTTCTCTTGCTTTTGTCTGGTTTATTTCTTACAAAATAGTTGAATCATCCAGGGTCCTTAGTTTTATACAATTTCCTCCTAAATATGCCTTTAATGGACCGTTTTGATGAAATGTATCATTGGTAAGAAAGCAACACAGCATGAAAACACAATGTAAGTGACTTAATACATGCAATGTCATTTTTTTGTTAGTGCTTTGTCTTAATTTTGAATTTATTGGATATTTTTTTGATGTACAGGATCCAAGTTCTAGTAATGATGTTGTTAATACAGAAAGGCATAGTGACAGTAGCCTTGAGACAGAGTCATTTCTTCGAGCCACCGAGTCTGTTGTATCAGCCATGCAGGCTCGCATGAGTCTCTCCATGGATTCTGGAGGAGAATCTGATGTGGACACAAGTCACAGCTACAGGGGACCTGAGAAATGCAGACCTCCCATGCCAACAACTGCCGGTGAGCGTTACCTTGCAGCAAGACGACCAAGCAATGCATCAGAAAGCAGTGGCCGATTGGAGAGTCGTGCAGCTCAATCAGACAGTAGTAGTGAAGCAGGGGAAAACAAAGGCAAGAAGAAGGACACCACTGTAGCTTCAGCTCCTCAGATGCGGTATAATAGAGCATTCAGGTGTGTGTTGATATATTAGTCTGAAATAATTTTCGTACTCACAGTCTCATTTCTATTGATTGTACTTATGGATCACCACTGTGTGCAGTGATTACCACCGTGGAAACTCCTTATGGCTTGAGTTTACTGGTGAATGGGAAATTGCAAATTTGATTCCCGTTAGGTGCTGTAAATTTGCATGATGCGTTTAGCATCAGTGAGTTTGTGGTACCTACCAAAATCAAATTTGTTAGCTCACTGTTGTGATTGTTGATTACCATGGTTTCCCCATTCACTTCCAGGTGAATACCAGGGTAGGACCCTAGAATATGGTCCATGGATCACATGCTTCCTTCCCTATCCTGTCCATTTTCCCAATTCGTAGGGATGAAAAATGGGCTGATTGAAGAGCTCAATTGTCTCTGATCTACAAAATTTCTCCCTCTGGGGTTCCATTTGCCCTTGCAGAAGACTTTGAATTTGAATTTATAAAGTGTTCCTGTGTCTCCAACTTCAATTTTTGATCTTATTTATTCTCCCGTCTGCTCTGAAGTGTAGTTTTCTAGGTACTTTCATGTACTTTGCAGATATGTGCTGTGTACTTTGCTGAATTTCACTTGATTGTGTCTGCCTATTTTTATTTTTGCTCATAATTTATTTCCTTGGATTAATTAATTTCTTTCCTTAACCCATTCAGGTCACTGCTTTAAACAATTCTGAGTATCATCAAATGATCCCCAAAATATTTGCTTCTTTGCATAGTTCCATGCACAAGTTATGTATTGGGTGTCTGGTACATTTACATTATTTTTCACATGCCATCTGTGTAGGAGACTTGACAATTATATAGATTTTGCACCTATATCTTGGTACCACATTCTGCCAAAATTTGATTGTTAGGAATGAAAAACTGCAGCTTATGACAAACTTGGGAGCTTGTTATTAGAGTTCATTTTGGCGTCAGTTTGTTTGTTTCGTTTAAGGTTTTTTAAAAAAAAAAAAAAAAAATATATATATATATATATATATTATATATATATAATATATATATATATATATATATATATTCTATATATATATATTTTTTTTTTTTTTATATCATATATATATATATATATTATATATACATATATATATATATATATATATATATATATATATTGGACTTTTACATAGTAATGGGTGTAAAGTGTCCTGGCAAACTGTTCTTCAAGCAAAATCAAGGGGTTTTAATTCTTTTGTTTAAATAAACCACCTATATAAAAAGTCCATTAAGATAATATTAAAGCAAATATTTGTTTCTTAAATTTTATCCCCCCAAAATTTTCCAAAGCCTGATAACATGTCATCTTTTCACTGGTGCATTCTAGACCTAGCTAACATGTGAATGTATTTTTGTCACAACATGTAGGTGTAAGAGATATATAATTATTGGGTCACATTTTTCAATTTTTCAATTTTTAGATCATTTTTGTTGGGACTTTTGCATCACTTTTGTTATTTTTTAAACATTTTGTTTCCTTTTTGTGTTTTTGTTAGTGAATGTTTCATGAATTTGCAATGACACACTAAAACAAAGTTTTTATTGTATTATCAGTTCATGAAATTCACTTATGCAGTGGGCTGTTTTCTTGAACTGTCAAAATTACACGAATCTTCGGTAACTTCAACTTTTCAAAACTGAGAGTTGGAAGATTGCTGCTAAGGATTACATTTCCTCCTTAAATAAAAGACTTTATATTGAATATAATTTAATGCATATAAATTTTAATTAAAATTATAAAATTCATTGAATTTCCACACAAATTTTTGAGTATTTTTTAAAAAAAATGAGATCATTTCCCTCATATTTTCAAGTCATTTTGTATGACATTTTCAAAGAAGTTTTAGATTTTCAGAATCCAAGCCCTGTGAATAAATATTAAATGAAAAATGATGAAAATAGCAGAACCTGAGAGAGATACCTGTGAAGCAACCGAAAGTGTATTTTAAGATAATTCAATTTCTGATTATAAACGATTAGTTTTTGGGGGGGGGGGGATGTATTGTGATTCTTTAGGATATTTTCTTTTTATTCCCTTGCATGTCAATGCTGTAGTTTATATGCACGTTGTCTGACTCCTGAACATACAAAAATACAAAATTCTCTCTTTTTTTCGTTTTCATTCAAATTTGCGTTGTTTTTTTTTTCATTTTCTTAGTTGGCAATTATTATCATCATTCAAAATAATCTTGATTTTTTTTTAACTTTTACAAACATGATGGAGTAACACGCAATTATGAAGTTTCCTCTAAAGTAACCACAGAAGTGTATAATTTTTAAAACTAAAAATACATTTTTGTTCAACATGATATAGAATTGAAATTAAATACATTTCCAGCTTGCGCCGGGCTCGATTAGATTGTGAACCAGAACCACCTGCTGTGGACAAAAAGAAAAAGCCAGTAGTGAATGAAGTGGTACCAGCAGTTACCAATAAACCAAAGAAGGCATTTGAACCTCCTTCACGCGCAACCCCACAGCGAACTCTGAAAGCGAAAAGTCCGAAACCTGAGACCTTCTCTAGGACAGATAGTGGGAGGTTTAGCATGCGAGCCACAAAACCAGCACCTCAGGTATTATTATTATTATTATTATTATTATTATTATTATTGTTGTTGTTATAATTAATTAGTATATCTCCTTAAAAAAATTAGAAACATTTTTCATTTTTTAAAACATATTATCAAATAACGGCCATATTTTCTTAAATATTAGCATATTAGATTTTTGTGATCTTGCAGTGAACACAACCCTGAGAGATACGCTGCATTCTTAGCTTGGCTCCTGTTCTGTCCAACAATAGTTTATTGTGAAATCACAAAGCAGGGTGGGGTTAGTGTTACTTTAAACATAAGTGCAGACATTCATTTTAATTAGTCATACTTAACTGTTTTATATTGTTTAATATAAACAATTTTAAAAAGAGCTATGAACATTTATTATAAATGTTAACTGTTAAATGTTTACAATGCTTCATGCTTGGCCAAATAAATAAAACAACTGAAAGTCGTTATTTTTGAAACAAATACTTTGTGTCTGTTGATTAATGTACATAAAATGAAATAAGAGAACAATCTGGTACAATGTAGATAACATATTGAAAGATTCTGGTTTGATACATCTTAATGAAACTCATATATTTTTTATTGTAATGGTTTTAAACCTTAATAAACAACTGTTATTCTTTACAACAGTTTATTTATTGAATTGCAATAATGTTTTGATCCTATTTGGGGTCTTTTTGAAAAAATCTTTTGTAACTTATATTCAAATGATGGAGAATTATTAATGAAATAGTAATACATATCAAGTAAATTGATGCGTTAAAAAGAATTGAACAACTCAAACAATAAGAAACAAATTATGACATACCCAGTGTTCAGGTTTGTTGACATCATATCATAAATAAACTGTGAGCATTAATGCTTACTGTTTATTTAAAATATGTCAACAATCCTGGGCACTGAGTATGTCATTATGTGCTTTTTATTATTATTGTTCAATTTTTCTTAGTGTATAGATTTATATGATATGTGTTACCATTTTATTGATAATTCTCCATAATTAGAATATAACTTACATTATATTTTTTAGATTGTTTGAAAATGACCCCATATAGGATCAAAATGTCATTGTATAACTAAAATATCATGATGTTTAATTAAGATCATGCATAATATGTGTTGATTAAAAGTTCACCTGTACCTTACAGTGACTACAAGCTTTTAGTACATAGTATGCTTTATAAGTTCCAATGGGGTTTTCAAATTTTTTTTTTTTTCAAGGTCAATCTTTTTAAAATAAATTTTTTCCCCTCTTTCTTGGGTGGGCTTTTTCCCCCCCCAAAAAAAAAGCCCCCCACTTGCCCAAAATGGAACTGAGTGACAGATGGACGTTCCATATTTGCCAAATCTTTTAATTTCTTATTATCTATTCGATCACGACATTTTCATAAGCACATCTTTTTTTTATTCTTCATTCTCTCTTTCAAATTCACATAACACATTATTTTCTCCACCAGATAGAATACTGTCCTTCAAGAATGTAAATAAGGGTGATTGCAATATCTGTGTACGAGTTAGACCAGATAATCTTCCCTTTAAATTAAGCGGATGGTAAATTTAAACTTTGTGGTTTTTATAATCTAGGGAAACATTAATTTTATTTAAAAGTAACTTGTAGAATATTCACTATCTCTAATGATTGAAATAGTCCATTTTTTACCAAAAGCCAAAGTTTTCGTATTTTCTTGTAACAAAAATTCAAATCTTATTTTAATGTATTTATATGATGTTCAGTCACGCCCATGTGCTTTGAACATTATTTTTGAAACTATGTATAGTATTTCTGATAGTCATCTATTCTTAACGACAAGTGTTCTCTGCAGCAAGAAAATATTTTAATTGTATGTCATTTTAATTCATGAATTTTTGTATTATCATTTTGATTATTAGATTAATTGTAGATTGAGTTGATAGTTGAACATTTATTTGTGGAATTTAATAATATTGTGAATTATGTATCTGTGTATGTTTTAAGAAGAAGAAAAATATTTTTTATTTTATTTCCGGAACATTCCATTGATATTTTGTTTAAATTGTAGATTTAAGTGCAGTCTGGTTAAGACCAGTGACATTGTCCACAGAATTCTCATCCTACAAAGCCGGCAGTTCCGAAGAAAGATTCTAAACGATCCGCTGGAGGTCGCAGCAATTCAACACTATCATCTAGAGAGGTTGAGTTTCAGAACTGGAAACGCCGTAAGAGCTATGACCCAATGAAGGCTGCAGCTGAAGGCAAGAAGAAAGAAGCTGCAAAAAAAGCATCAATGAGCACAAGCATGACACAAGCATCTATTGTTGATCCAGAAACCTCCCCTAGGTAACACAGTATTCTTTGGTATTTAGAGAACTTTTAATCTGTGATTGTGCATTTACTTTTTATTATTATAAGTGAATGATATGAGAATTAGAAGTTATTTTATGGAATGCTCTGGATTATTTTATTTATTTATTGGTTTAAAACAGGCAATCACCCTTTGAATACATATCATTTATTTCATATTTACTTAATTCTAAGAATTTGATCACATACAATATCGCTTTCACATTAAATATTCAGGAATAGTCATTTAATAATACATTTTTAATTTGTGTAACACAGTTTTGATTAGAGTAAAAATCTATACTAAATTTATTTGCTAGATTGCACATTCTCCATATAGGTGCATAACGAAGTTGATTTGTTTTCACAAATGGAACCTAAACGATATCACTTTTTGTTACGAAGCCTCATTTCTGGAACTTTCAAAAATAGTTTTGAGTGTGGGTGGATTCAATCAATTTCATTCACGATTAATTTGTTTAAGAATTTTAGATCATTAACTTCCCTTCGAGATTTTAATGAGCTGATGTTCAGTATGCTAGCAATTTGATAATAATCATGACTGATTTTAGGTAGGGGTAAATTTAGTTTCCATGCCACGTAATTTAAAAATTTGTTGTATTCTCTCTAATTTTCTTGAGTTATTCTCATATATTGGTGACCACATGGAGGAACAATACAATAGAATAGGTCTAACTAACATTAAGTATAAAGTTTTAAATGAAATTGGGTTTATGAAATTCGTAGTCATTCTTTTAATAAATCCGAGCATCCGAGATGCTTTTGATATAATTTGATCAATATGATTTGAAAACTTTAATTTTAAGTCAAAAATCACTCCCAAATCCTTCATTAGTGAAACCTTTTCTAATAAGTGGCCACTAATAGAGTATTAAAAATGGATATTATTTCTTAACCTAGTATAAGTCATGGTTTTACATTTTGATATATTTAGATGAAGTTTATTATCATTGCACCATAAATATAATGAATTTAAATTTGATTGTAATGTAATACAGTCATGCAATGATTTTATTTCAGAATATAGTTTCAAATCATCAGCTTAAATCAAAAATGTGCACGAAGGAAGTTTTAGTTTTATGTCATTGATAAATAATATAAACAATAGCACACCCAAATGTAAGCCTTGAGGAACACCTGATTTAACTTTCATGTCTTTTGAAATAAATTATTTATATTTTACGTTCTGAATTCGATCAATCAAATAATTTTCTAACCATTTTAGTAATGGTCCATGAATTCCAAGATTTAACAATTTTTGTAGTAAAATATTGTGGTTAACAGTATCGAAAGCTTTTGTGAAATCTGTATAGATTACATCGACCTGTGCATTAGTTTCAAATTTCTATAAAGTATAGTGTTGAAATGTTAGTAAATTCGTGGTTGTTGATCTTTTTTGTCTAAACCCATGTTGTTCATCAATAAGTATATTATTAAGAGATGCAGATAATTTATTAGTAACAATTGATTCAAACAGCTTAGGGATAGTACTCAACTTTGAGATTGGTCTATAGTTTACTATTTTAGATCTTTCGCTTGATTTGTGAATGGGAGTAATGAAACTTCTTTTCCAAACACAAGGAAATGAACCTTCATTAAGAGATTTTTTAAATAAATAATGTAATATCGGAGTAATATTAGTTGTGCAATTTTTCAAAAATGACAAAGGTATTCCATCAGGTCCAGGTCCTAATTTACCATCCAACTTTTCAAAGGCTTTAAAAACTTCCATCTGAGTTATATCTAATCGGGATATATTAATGTCTGAATATGTGTACGTATCATCTATTTCAACACTGGAGTTAGATTATCAGGTTCAATGGTTTATACATGATTCAAAATAAGGTTGCAAACTGGTTAAGCAATGTCGTTGACCGGTTTTCGGCGGGGAGGGGGGAGGGGGAAGATATATTAAAAAGACATAACATTCGGTTTTTATCGCGCTTTAATTCCTCTATCCGAGTTTGTATAAACTTCAAAATGCCTTTTATATCATTAACAACCAGTGGTGATTCATTTTAAGATAAGATTCACAGTCATCAGCTGATTTAGTTTTACATTTCCTACGCAATTCCGAAAATCTCAAATAGTCAAGGTCACATCCTGATAATTTATAGTTCGAATGCGCTACAGCCTTTTCTTTTAATAATTTTTTCAGTTCTTTTGAATACCATGAAGGATATGAATGCGAATATATGATTTGTTTCGGAACATTATTTTCGATGATTTCATACATTTCATCATAAAAATAGGACAAAGCAGAATCTAGTGTATTTTGTTCAAAATAGTGAAGCCAGTTAAATGACAAAATTTCATCATTGATTTTTACATAATCTGCATCATCAAATCTATATTTCATGTCAATAAGATTAAGACTTAAAAATTTATCATTTAATGAAAATAGTATATCTAAGGCGGAATGGTAAGAATCACATGGTACGAAACTGCAATCAGGTTCTCTAACTATACAATTTTCATTGTGACAAAATATCAGATCCAATGTTCTATCCATGATGTTTAGTATCTTATTTGATTAAAAATGATTTAAGTAATTCATTGAATTTGATATTAAAGATGCTACTGTAATTTTGATTTATTCTACATACAGTTATATCTACAGTATTGGCAACATACACCACATTTACCCTATTATAAGACAGTGTTTTCCTAAACATCGTATGTACCCAAATATACTCCCTAATTTTGGAGGTCTTCTGAGAATTTTTTAAATTTGTAACTAAGTTTTACTATTTAGTCAAAATAAAATTTCAACGTGTCTTATCGGCGAGAAAATTGCCTGGAAAAAAAATCTCTCATCTTATATTTGGTTAAATATGGTATCTCATTTGAAAAAAACAGTAAGTCTTATTTCTAACGTAGTCAGTTAGGATTTATATTTTTTTCCTGTTTTTCCATGCAAAGAAGAAACTCAAATGCTGATGAAACTGCCCTGAAAGGCAATAAATATCATGCATACCTAATTAATTTTGGGACATGTTGTTGGCATCTATCATGAATTTGCCTAGCGATTCAGACCAATACTTTTGGATGGACTTGTAAAGAAAATCTAAAATCAATATCATTGTAGTAAGTGAAACAAAAAGTGATAATGAATAGAAATCGTTGCTGAGTTGTTATTACGCAATCAACGAAGCCGTGCAAACTTTGGGTTCAATGTCTGGGGAGTGCAAATCTGTGATTTGCAAGGGAGGAAGTAATCAAAAAATGTATTGATAGAAGTATGTATACTACATACAATCTCAGAGACAGAATGATAAAAAAGTATTTTCTTAGGAAAACCTTTTTGAATTTTCAGCTTTTTCCCATGTTACTCATAAAATGGAGGGACAGAGATGTACAAGTTCGCAGTTTACAATTTGATCTTGTGAACATTAAAAGGTTGCAAATTTCAAGTACATTTTGACTTAAAAGGGAATGTTCTTAAGTGACATGAGATTCAATCCCTAAAAATTTTGGGGGGACATAAAATTCAGAGGGTGATAGAGTATGGAAGAAAAACTAAAAAGAAAGAAAAACAATGATGGGTGTGAAGTTAGTAGTGACTAAAATCACGATTAAGATGATTTTAAGGGGGGGGTGAGTGAGAACATTTACAGACAATACAAAATTTTAACTTTCTCGTCAATAAGACAATTTTCTAGTCAGATAATTTTCAATAAAAAAAAAAAAATATTATGAATTAATAAAAAAGGTTTAAAAAAGTTCAGGATGGCTATTCAAAATTAAGGGATCATCATATATTCAGAGTTGACTTAAAGTATCTTAGACATTTCGACACACTGTTGCCACTCACTACCATGCAAGAGGCAACACCTGCATGAAAGATGAATGAAATCTCAATACATTAACACTTGCTGACTAGTAATGACATGACTTGAGGTCATGATCACAGATAGCCAAACCTTATTGCCATCCAAACACATACATTGAAAACAATACTGCTGATGACAGTTATCTGCTTGCCTTTTGAGGGAACGTGTACAATCAAATGAACAGCAACTCTGATCTGTGGCTGAAGGAAAGTAATTCGATCCTTGCTAGATGGTTGCTTCAGAGTGGGTCACATGTACCACAGCTTATGACGGAAGAAGCTTCAGAGATGTTTATAAGTTGCTGGTACTATAGGGGGTGATGTAATAGTAACTGCTTATAAATTGTGGTTTTGATGCTAATTTTTCATGTAGTGCTTCATTACTTCTTAAAACGAAAGTTGAAATGGTAATTAGCGTTGCAGCCAGCAGTTGAAAGTATTTAAATAATATTTTTGATAAAAAAATAATTGAGCAATGGAATATGATTAGAATGAAAAGGAATTTTATTTATTTTTTCCACCATCACCTATGTAAAAGTATAGTTCAGAGAAATGACACTTGCTGATTTTCTTAAAGTGTGTGTAAATTTCGTCACAGTTCCATTTACATGATTAAGATATGGTAAAGTGCTATTCACTAAGTAATGCACTTCTGTTTGAATGGGTGTTTTCAGCCATCAAAATCCGGTCTTGAGATCAGCTTCATTCCATGGCACTGGAGGAATGACGCCTAATTATGTTTCATCAGAGGAAGAGGTCACTTTGTCAGCAGATGAAGATTCTCCAATATCTGGATGCCCTCCCTCTTTGATTGCATCATCCTCTCCATCCAAGGTTTATTTTCACACACAGTCATGTGTATTTTGGACATTTCATGTTTTTATGTCTATTATAATAAGCTTTTGTTGCTTTATTATTTGTAACACTGTGATCCAGTTGTTTACTTATTGATACCTTATTCAGATTGTTATATCGTAAGGAAATGCGAAGCTGTATCATTAAAATTGACTCTTTCTTTACAGTCTGTACGCATTCTTAAAAGATGGAATTTTCATGCATGATATTTGTTGTAATTAAATTTTATGTTAACGTGTTGAATGTAATTTCCCTGCTTTGATCAAACTTTAGTATGTCAAAGGTTGTGGAACAAATCCTGGCAAAGAAAGTGGATCTTTGTTTTAATAAAGTGTTTGAATTGCTGGTATTTTGAATGTGTCGTAAAGCACTTGATCCAGATAGTCACATCTGTTAATGAATCAATGCAGATGTGTTGAGTATTAATTAAGAATTCAAATGATTTCCTTCTTACCTTTGACTCATTGAAAATCAAGAAACAATCAGATTGTACTATTACCCTAAGAAGAAGAAGATTATAAGGATAAACATTGCTGTTGGATCATGAGCTTTATTATTAAAACTTCCTGTATGTGGCTTTGCATGTTGCTTTGCAATTAATACAAATTACTGTTGAATAAAATAACTCATGTTGCATGTATCTACTAACACACTCAGAGATAACCCCAGTGTAGGTGAATGACTATGAATTGCAGGCTATACTGGAGGGGGCATTTGGTGGCAGTCGCACATCCCTTCACAGCACTGCATCAAATTCGTCTCTTGGCAGACGAGCCAAATTGGAGGCAAGTTGTTACCTGAATTCTGGTTGTGAAATATTTGAAGTTAAATTTTTGTAGTCAAAAGGTTTTGGAGTATAGATATACAGTGTATATTGAAAGTTTTTACTCCGGAAGAGTGAAAAAGTATATAGGAACATACAGTAAAACTGTTTATATGTTTTGCATTTATAGGTTTTTCACATTTATACATTGTTTTTTGCGAGTTATGAATAAATTCGTATACTTCCCATGTTAAATTATTTTAGATATGTGTTTTACATTCATGTTTTTCATGCTTATACGTTGGTAATGCAAGACCTTTAAAATCATGTAATGTCCAAACGACAACAATGTAGGTGACCAAAACAAATGTTAATGTTATAATAGAGGAGCCCAAGGAATTTTAAGTACAAGGTATTTCAGCTGTTTTCCACTCTCCATTTAGGGCTGGTAGTGTCATTTGATATGGTTTTGCATAATGATCACCAACATTGACAATAAAAATTTGTTGCATTTAATGAAAATATTGAAACGAGGGAATGAGAGATTTATAATGACGTTAAAGCTTGTCACATGAGCACTGCGTTGACGCATGATGCCAAGAGTGGTCATATGTTGTTTTGCTTTAATAGTGTTAATCTACGCTGCATAGTAAGTGACTCGTGCACAGGCATCAACAAAGTTGATGTCATCTGCATTAGGTGAGCCTCTTCAATGCAACTCTCTCACAACACAGGACTAAAGAACTTTCTGCACAAAGTGCAAATATCAGTGCAATCTTTTCCACCGGCCGTGCCTATGCCTGACGTGCGTGTCTTCTAAGTAACAAGTAATGTACTTCAACTTCCATCTCTACCAGGTTTTTGTCCAGTTTCCCATGATCCATTGAACAATGCCAAGATGACCCCTTGTTTTGCTTCTGAACATAGATTGTAGAACATGAATGTAGATTCACTACACGCATGTTTTGTTAAGCTCACTGTTTGCTAGTAGCAGTAATAGTAGAGTCGGGGAAGTTTTGTAATTTTTTCAGCAGTACCAATAAATTCTGCAGTTGGTTTACCAAAGCAAATAAGTTTTCAATAACTCAAGAACAAAAATGTCTAGTTATCAAAGATTGCTAACTTTGCTTTTTATGAAACTCATCATTCAACTATTTAGTTAAAATGTTGGGAAGGAATTCTGGAGCTTAAGAAATTGTGCGCAGATGGTACTTCTCTCCGGTATGTGACATATAGTTTTTGCTGTTCTTTGACTAAATAAAACAAAAGTAATGCTGGAACAC